GAGCAGCAGGAGAACCAACCGAGCGGTCCGGCCGAGAGGAGGATCGACGCTTGCCAGTCATCGCCACGGGGCGTGCATGCACAGGGAGGTGAGGGAGAGGAAAATTGTGTGGCGGAGCATCTTGAGGAGAACGAGTACAGGGAGGAAGAGGGGATAGCGACGGTGACGGCAGCGTGGCAAAGTCGGAGGAACGAAACTAGCAGGCAAAGGACCTTACGCGAGCGGGCGGAGGAGAGGGCGATGGGGCAGCAGCCGCGAAACGCGGTGGGACGCACGACCACACGGGGACGCGGGAGGGGCCGGGGCAGGGGGGGACGGGTGGGGGAGTTGGTGAGATCCGTAGCAAGAGAAAAAGCCAGAACCGGAAATTGGCGGGAACGGCATGGGAGGCCAGAGGAGGAGAATGGAGAACCAATGAATGTCGCCGCAGAGGAAGAAGAGACAGAATATATGGAAGAGGAAGAGGCTGAATCGGAGGAGGTGTCTGTGGAGGCCGAAGACGGGATCCCAGCTGGCAATGAGGGCAGACGGCAACGTGGCGGCCGCCGAGGACACGACGGAAATAATCCTAACGGGGCTGGACAGGTGGGCGAATCACCAGCACAACAGACTAATGAATCTGACAGCAAGGAGCGCTGACCAAATGATATCGCGGACGATGATGACACATGGCGGGCGGTGGAGAGTTGCAACCTAGACCCACTGCGAGTCAGTTCCCAACCATTCTTGGTCAGGAAACTTCCCCCGGAAGAACCGAAGTCGTACAGTCACTACCTGACGATTCCCCTACTGCGACTCTCGAAACATCCGGGCTGCATGGGCGCGCGGAGGGTGGTGCAATTCCTGCGTCGGCTTACGCTGAGGGCGAGCACAGAGAACGTTCCGGGAAACAGACTCGACGCAGTGAAGAAAAGACTTTGACAATTCCAAGATGAAGATTGGGGCTCACTGTACCTCCAAGCTTGCATAATCCTCGACATTTCCCAACCAAGCAGACACGAGCCTGACGCAGAAGGCATCTGCGCAAGGGTAGAGGGACTGGTCCGGAAGGCCAACCTGGCGAAAGCTGCGGCAGCGTTACGAACCACTCCGCTGGCGGAGCCGTCGCAACAGGCACTGGAAACACTCCGCGCGAAGCACCCGCGAGCGGAGGTGGCGATACAGGAAGGGCTAGGGGGTTACGGCGAAACAGCACTCGCCATTGGCACAGAATCGTTCCGCGACATCCTGGCGAAGTGCCCGAACGGAATAGGAGCAGGCCCGTCAGGCACTTGCTTCGAACACCTACGGACCCTGCTCAAACAAACGGGGAGGTATTCTTACTGCTGCACCAGATAGTTAATAACCTACTCAGCACGTACCAGGATGCGCCACTGAGGGAGCTGCTGCTACCATCGAGGCTAATCGCACTGAAAAAACCTGACGGGGGAGTAAGGCCGATAGCGATTGGGGAGGCACTCCTTAGACTCACGGCAAAAGCGGCGCTACGGGAGCTGTCAGGGGAGATTCGCTCACACTTCCTACCAGTACAATACGGCGTGGCCGTACCGAGGGGAGCGGGGTGCATAATACACACGGCTCGTACGCTGCTGGCGGAGGACCCGACGCGCACGATATTACAGCTCGATATTGAAAACGCTTTTAATTCGGTCGAACGAGGGAGTTTTCTGTCGACACTGCTTTGGACCGACGGACTGAGCTCACTGCTGCCATTCACTAGAACCCTCTATGGCACGCCGTCGAAACTACTACTGGACAGAGGCTTCACTGTCAGCACCATCGACAGCGCCCGGGGCGTCAGGCAAGGAGACCCGCTCGACCCCATGCTATTCGCTGCAGCCATACAACCGGCCCTGTTGGAGGCGGCGATGGCAGTCCCGGGCGCGACAGTGATGGCGTACGCAGACGACATCACTGTCATTGGCCAGCCGGCGGCCGCGACAAGGGCGTTCAATATGATAGTCCAGGGACTCGTCGGTCTAGGGCTGCGGTGCAACCTCACCAAGTCGTCGGCCTGGAGCCCCACGGGGAACACAACAGACCTGCCGGAAGGATTGGCGGCGGCGGTGGACGGAGTGCAAGTCCTAGGGAGCCCCATAGGCACAGTAGCATACTGCAGGCGCACGCTTCGAGCATCGCTGGAGCGGATAGCCCTCCCGCTGAGCCTAGTCAGCAAGCTCCACCCACAACACGCGATGCTGCTCCTGTCGCGCTGCATATCGCGCAGAATCTCCTACCTCCTGCGCACTACGCCGGCGGACATTCTCCCCATCCGGGAATGGCGGGGGTGGAGCGAGAGGCTGATGTGGACAGCACTGAGGGCGGCCCACATCAATGTACCCTCCAAGGAGCTAGAACAAAGCCTGTTGTGGAGGCAGGCGACGCTACCGATCGCGCTGGGCGGTGTGGGGCTGATAGACCCACTGTCAGAGGCACCGGCGGCATACCTGGCGTCACTAAGGGCAGCACAGATGCTGCTGCAGCAAATGCCGCCCTCGCCAAACCACCAGCTTTCGCAAGTGGCGTCGTTGGTGTCACCGCTTGGGGAGGGAGTGGCAGGAAGGGAAGGGGAAGCAATACGGGACCTGCGGAACAGACTCCCCGAGGAGGCGCGGGAGCTGCTAGGGGAGCCGGGTGTCAGCGGGGGAGGACGGGGACGCCTGCAGGAGCAACTATCGCGCCATATCAACCTGAACCGTGCAGCGGAACTGGTGGGCGACACACGGATGGATAAGCCGGGGGAAGACAATGGACACGTGGTGCGGTTGATCAGCCTGCAGGGGGTTGGCGCAGAGGATTGGCTCCACGCCATCCCCACGCGGGCAGATCTGACGTTCTCGCCGGGTCAGTTTGCCTTGGCTCTGGGGTTCCGCTAGGGACTGGCGCTGCCGTTGACGGAAAACTGCCCGTGCTAGGGGGAGCGAGGGGAGATTGGGGACCTGAGCCTACCGAACCATCTGCTGCGGTGCGGGGAGGGGAAAGAGAGGACGCACACACACAACAACCTCGTGTATACGGCGCTCCGCATGGCCAGGGAGGCGGACTACCTTACCCTGTATGAGACCACGGTCTATTCGCAACCAATCAACCCCAAGTGAGCAGACCTGGCCATCAAGGACCGGGAGTCAGCCGAGACGTATGTGACGGACGTCACAGTGACGGACCCGGTCCTGCAGCGCCGGGACACTAAGGCAGTGAAGCCCCCGGGCTGGGCGGCGGAGGATGCGGCCAGAACCAAACGAGGACTGTACGAGGGACGGCCGGATTTTGTGGGGGTGTTTGGGCTGGCGGTGGAAACATATGGAGCCCTAGCGCGCGACACACAGAGGTTCCTCAGGCTATTAGGCAGACAAGCGGCTAAAAAGAAATTTAGGCAGGGGAGGCTTACCACTGCCGCCTCCAAACTCACAGCTCACTACCGCCAGCACTGGTCGGTAGCGCTGCAGAGGAGCCAGGCGAACGCATTCCTGGCAAAGTCTAACCGGGCCATAGAGAGTGCCTACCCACAGGCGGCGGCTGACCCATGGGAGCCCCGCCTGGGGGACTTGTGCCAGGGGGCCAGCCCTGGAGGCGTGAGGGGCTGAAGTAAGGGGGCCCCGAGGCTGAGGTCCCTAGGTCCTAGGCTCACGGCAGGCCACGGCTAGCAGACCCAGCTAGCTTAGTTTTTATATGTTGATACTTGCTTGCATGAGCACTTGCTGGCCTACATGATACCTAGACGGTATGATAGGGGATTGCTTTGCTGTTTTATCATGTATGGCTTGTACCCCTTTATAATATTAATGAAGGACCGCTTGAGAGAGAGAGAGAGAGAGAGAGAGAGAGAGAGAGAGAGAGAGAGAGAGAGAGAGAGAGAGAGAGAGAGAGAGAGAGGGAGGGAGAAAGAGGCCACGACGACATCGCGATGAACAAGGTCGTGAGACCAAGGGATGCACATGCACCAATCTCATCGTAAGGCGACTTCCAAGTCTTCAAAAAAAAAAAAAAAAAAAAAAAAATGGGGGTGTGGGGAGGAGCGAAGGAGGTCAAAGAAGAGCGACATAGTTTGCCCAGCAAAGTGTCCCGCCATCTCTCGTGTCTAATCGGCCCTAGTATTGTTCCTCCCCACAACCTCGGTTGCCCGCCGTTTGCAGAAGCTGAAAGCGAGTGGCAAGACGCTCACTGGGACCCATACGAGCATGCAATAACGGACAACATGGTATCCATCATGCGAAGGCGATTGCGGAACAGCCTTCACTGGTGGCTATCATGGTGCGACAGCAGTTTCATCCTTTCCATCATTGCTAAAGGGTACTGACTACCATGGAAGGGCGCGGAGCCACCCCCCTTCGAAGCCCTCAATCACGCAGGGGTTCAAGCACACATGGCTTTCACCCAAGGTGCCGTCAGCGGCCTCATCGCGTCAGGAGCCACGGTACAGGTCTCGTCAAAAGCAGCACTGACATGGATTAGCCCGCTCAATGTTGTCGAGCAAAGAGACAAATGCCGTCTCATTCTTGACCTGCGGAAGGTCAACGCTCACCTCCAAGTTCCCAAGTTCATGTACGAGGGCTTGGGTCGGGTTGCGGAGATCATTTGCCCAAACGACTGGATGTTCACCATCCACCTGAATTCAGGCTACCACCATGTGGAAATCCACTCATCATGCTGGAGGTTTTTGGGCTTTCAACTGGATGGCAAGTTCTATTGCTTCACATCCTTACCCTTCGGCTTGGCAACAGCCCCGTTCGTCTTCACCCAGCTAATCAAGCAACTAGCCAAGAGATGGCGCGCGCGCGGAGTGCGTGTAATACCATACGTGGACGATCTACTATTCCTGTGCGATTCCGAGGCGCAAGCCCGTTCGACGTGCATCGAAGTTCTCCAAGACCTGAAGGTGGCGGGATTCGTGATAAATGCTAAGAAGTCAATCCTACATCCAACACACCACTTGCGCTTCTTGGGGATGGAGCTCGACATGGAACGAGGGATGTTCCTCATCGGAGAAGATCGACGCGAGC